TCCATTTCTTAAAGTATGATTCTCAATTTTTCATCATTTATTAAGAAAAGTGTCTTCTTTATAACGAAAAAGTCCGTTTTTGAAAATTCTTTCTCATTCTTGAGATACAAAAGTTTAATCTTAACATAATCATTCATTTTCCGATTTTCAATCAATTTTTTAAAAAATCGTGTAAAATCCATTTGTTAAAGTATGATACCCAATTTTTCATCATTTATTAAGAAAAGTGTCTTCTCTTTAACGAAAAAGTCCGTTTTTGAAAATTCTTTCTCATTCTTGAGATACAAAAGTTTAATCTCAACCTTAATCATTCCATTTTATAATTAATCAATTTTTTAAAAAAATCTTTAAAAATCCATTTCTTAAAGTATGATCCTCAATTTTTTATCATTTATTAAAAAAAAGTGTGTTCTTTTTAACGAAACAATCCGTTTTTGAAAATTCCTTTTCGTTCTTGAGATAAAAGTTTTTAATCTCAACCTTAACCATTCATTTAGCGATTTTCAATTAATTGTTTAAAAAATCGTTAAAAATTCATTTCTTAAAGTATGATCTTCAAGTTTACATCGTGTATTAAGAAAAGTGTGATCTTTTTAACGAAAAAGTCCGCTTTTGAAAATTCTTTCTCATTCATGAGATACAAAAGTTTAATCTCAACCTTAATCATTTCATGTTATGATAATTAATCTCTTTTTTAAAAAATCGTTAAAAATCTATTTCTTAAAGTATCAACCTCAAGTTTTCATCGTTTATTAAGAAAAGTGAGTTCTTTTTAACGAAAAAGTCCGTTTTTGAAAATTCCTTTCCGTTCCTGAGATACAAATTTATTATCTCAACCTTAATCATTCATTTTCCGATTTTTAATCAATTTTTTTAAAAATCGTGTAAAATTCATTTCTTAAAGTATGATTCTCAATTTTTCATCATTTATTAAGAAAAGTGTCTTCTTTTTAACGAAAAAGTCCGTTTTTGAAAATTCTTTCTCATTCTTGAGATACAAAAGTTTAATCTCAACCTTAATGATTCCATTTTATGAGAATTAATTAAGTTTTTAAAAAAATCGTTAAAAATCCATTTCTTAAAGTATGATCCTCAATTTTTCATCATTTATTAAGAAAAGTATCTTCTTTTTAACGAGAAAGTCCGCTTTTGAAAATTCTTTCTCATTCTTGAGATACAAAAGTTTAATCTCAAAATAATCATTCATTTTCCGATTTTCAATCAATTTCTTAAAAAATCGTGTAAAATCCATTTCTTAAAGTACTAATCTCAAATTTTCACCGTTTATTAAGAAAAGTGTGTTCTTTTTAACGAAAAAGTCCGTTTTTGAAAATTCTTTCTCATTCTTGAGATACAAATGTTTAATCTCAACCTTAATCATTCCATTTTATGAGAATTAATTAAGTTTTTAAAAAAATCGTTAAAAATCCATTTCTTAAAGTATGATCTTCAATTTTTCATCATTTATTAAGAAAAGTGTCTTCTTTTTAACGAAAAAGTCCGTTTTTGAAAATTCTTTCTCATTCTTGAGATACAAAAGTTTAATCTCAACCTTATTCATTACATTTTATGATAATTAATTAATTTTAAAAAAAATCGTAAAAAATCCATTGCTTAAAGTATGATCCTCAATTTTTCATCATTTATTAAGAAAAGTGTTTTCTTTTTAACGAAAAAGTCCGTTTTTCAAAATTCTTTCTCATTCTTGAGATACAAAAGTTTAATCTCAACCTTAATCATTTCATGTTATGATAATTAATCAATTTTTTTAAAAATCGTTAAAAATCCATTTCTTAAAGTATGATCTTCAAGTTTACATCGTTTATTAAGAAAAGTGTCTTCTTTTTAACGAAAAAGTTCGTTTTTCAAAATTCTTTCTCATTCATGAGATACAAAAGTTTAATCTCAACCTTAATCATTTTTCATAGTGCTATTTTCAATCACTTTTTTAAAAAATCGTTAAAAATCCATTTCTTAAAGTATCAACCTCAAGTTTTCATCATTTATTAAGAAAAGTGAGTTCTTTTTAACGAAAAAGTTCGTTTTTGAAAATTCCTTTCCGTTCCTGAGATACAAATTTTTAATCTCAACCTTAATCTTTCATTTTCCGATTTTCAATCAATTTTTTAAAAAATCGTGTAAAATCCATTTCTTAATAAATCGCCCTCAAATTTTCACCGTTTATTAAAAAAAGTGCGTTCTTTTTAACAAAAAAGTCCGTTTTTGAAAATTCTTTCTCATTCATGAGATACAAAAGTTTAATCTCAACCTTAATCATTCCATTTTATGATAATTAATCAATTTCTTAAAAAAATCGTAAAAAATCCATTTCTTAAAGTTTGATCCTCAATTTTTCATCATTTATTAAGAAAAGTGAGTTCTTTTTAACGAAAAAGTCGGTTTTTGGAAATTCCTTTCCGTTTTTGAGATAAAAATTTTTAATCTCAACCTTAATCTTTCATTTTCCGATTTTCAATCAATTTTTTAAAAAATCGTGTGAAATCCATTTCTTAATAAATCATCCTCAAATTTTCGCCATTTATTAAGAAAAGTGTGTTCTTTTTAACGAAAAAGTCTATTTTTGAAAATTCCTCTTCATTCTTGAGATACAAATTTTTAATCTCAACCTTAATCATTAATTAAGCGATTTTCAATCAATTGTTCAAAAAATCGTTAAAAATTCATTTCTTAAAGTATGATCTTCAAGTTTACATCGTTTATTAAGAAAAGTGTGTTCTTTTTAACGAAAAAGTTCGTTTTTGAAAATTCTTTCTCATTCATGAGATACAAAAGCTTAATCTCAACCTTAATCATTCCATTTTGTGATAATTAATCAATTTTTTAAAAAAATCGTTAAAAATCCATTTTTTAAAGTATGATACCTAATTTTTCATCATTTATTAAGAAAAGTGAGGTTTTTTTAACGAAAAAGTCCGTTTTTGGAAATTCCTTTCCGTTTTTGAGACAAAAATTTTTAATCTCAACCTTAATCATCTTTCATTGTGCGATTTTCATGCACTTTTTTAAAAATCGTTAAAAATCCATTTCTTAAAGTATCAACCTCAAATTTTCACCGTTTATTAAGAAAAGTGTATTCTTTTTAACGAAAAAGTCCGTTTTTGAAAATTCTTTCTCATTTTTGAGATACAAAAATTTAACATCAACCTTAATCATTCCATTTTATCATAATTAATTAAGTTTTTAGAAAAATCGTTAAAAATGCATTTCTTAAAGTATGATACCCAATTTCTCATCATTTATTAAGAAAAGTGTCTTCTTTTTAACGAAAAAGTCCGTTTTTGAAAATTCTTTCTCATTCTTGAGATACAAATGTTTAATCTCAACCTTAATTATTCCATTTTATGATAATTAATTAAGTTTTTAAAAAAATCGTTAAAAATCCATTTCTTAAAGTATGATCTTCAATTTTTCATCATTTATTAAGAAAAGCGTCTTCTTCTTAACGAAAAAGTCCGATTTTGAAAATTCTTTCTCATTCTTAAGATACAAAAGTTTAATCTCAACCCTAATCATTCCATTTTGTTATAATTAATCAATTTTTTAAAAAATCGTATAAAATTCATTTTTTAATGAATCGCCCTCAAACTTTCGCCATTTATTAATAAAAGTACGTTCTTTTTAACAAAAAAATCGGGTTTTGAAAATTCCTTTTCGTTCCTGAGATAAAAATTTTGAAATAAATTTTTTGATAAATCATTAAAACTTTTTCGTTCTAATCCCACCTTTTCCGTATTCATTCCATCCAATTTACCCTCGTTACCACTATAAAACTCTTCCTCTTTCCTAAGTCTCACTAACAACACACAAAATTCGTCGGTTACATTGATCGTTGTCTGCTTCCGGTTTCAAGTTAATTAACCGCTACGTACGTCCTCGTCTTTTCCCTCCTCCTATTCCAACCTCTTTCTTCCACCTCCGTTCATATTGACCACACTTTGAGGCCATGACTCATTGCCAGAAGTAAGAACAAGCTAGAAATTAACTACTCTAACAGTAAAACCGTTTAAATATTACACTAAATTAGGGATCAATTAAAAATAAATTAATATTTTTAGACAATTTTAGTTCTAGAAAATATTTTGCGTGGTTTCAAGATTAGATTAATAAAATAAAGAATCGATTTCCAAATCTTTTAAGCGCCAGATTTGCGAAAATTGTTTCATCATAATTCATTTTTAACAAAACGTTGATTTGAATAAAAATAAATTATTTATGATGAAATATAAATAGATTAAGCAAAAAAAATAATAAAATTTGTAATAAAAAGTTCATCAAAAACGATAACCCCAATCTAAATATAAACTTATTTACTCTTCTAAAATCGTTTAAAGATTAATTTAAAGGTAAATAATACTTTATGGCTAAATTAGGAGTTAAATTCGATGCTAAATCGATTAATTTTTAGCCTCGTGTCACTTTTAAGTCATGCATTGTGTTTCACTTTCAAGGTTTTTTTTTCTATGTTAATTTTTCGCACGTAAAAACATTAAGTTTTATTTTTTAATGTTTTAGTTGCATTGAAATCGATCAAGTTTGCATATTGAAAACCGGTATATTCAATATTAATTAATCACACCTAATTTGTATTAATTAAATTCAATTCGAACGCGTAACCAAGTCACTTTTAAGGCATTTTAGAATCGTATGACTCGTTAAGGTAAAACGATAATTAAATAAACCTACAAAAACATAGAAGAGATTCAAAGATTCAGTTTTGTCCACTTATCGAGTCGATTCTAATCAATTCTTCACAATCGCAGGTGTGTCTTTTCTAGAAAAAAATTACAAATTCGAATGAATATGTAATAAATTAGCACTTTTATTTTTAAATCCTGTTTAAGAATCGTTTCGGAAAATTTTTGCATGCATTAAGCTCTTTGGAAAAGTTTTTTAAAAAAAAGTAGCGCCATCTATTAATTAAAATCGATATTAAATTAAAGAAAACTGTAATTTTGAAATAATTTTTTTTAAATTTTAAGGTCAAGTGATATGTCGCCACCAAATGGAGTACCTCCTGGTTCAGAAAACGGTTATATTCCGGTGACAACAAATGAGGATGAGGAGGACGACGAATTGGAGGCGGCAGACGCCGCGACGCCCCTCGAACACGTCACTCGAAACGGTGTTGGGGCGGCGGCTGCTGGAGATATTTCCTCCAAAGCAACCACCACATCGTTACTTCTAAAGAAGAAGGCTGAAAATGGAAGTTCGTCCCAAAAGGAAAACGGAGGTGGAGGAGACGAGGATGGCTCGGAAACCGGAGAAGACGACCCCGAAATCGTGGTTCCACCGGATGGCGGTTGGGGATGGGTCGTTGTCGCCGCTTCCTTCTTCTGCAACATGGTAGTAGACGGCACAGTATTTTGTTTCGGCATCTTAGCGCAGGATTTGGAAAATGAATTTGGCGCTAGCAAGGCGCACGTCGCATTAGTCGGCTCCCTAATGTCCGGATTCTATCTGATGGTCGGACCGTTCGTGAGCGCCTTGGCGAACCGGTACGGTTTTCGTATCGTCGCGATCGTAGGTAGCCTATTGGCGGCGGCCGCGTTCTCTGTCTCCTATTTTGCGACTAGCGTTACGTTCTTGTGCGTCACGTACGGACTTATTGGAGGTTAGTATCGCGATGACGACGATGATCACGACGTCTCTCCTCCCTATTTTAAACAAAATTTGTATTCTTTTGCTGATTTGAAAGCAAAGAGCTACTCGGTTTCTTAAAAAAGAAATGGAACTTATTTTTAGCCATTCACAACTTAGGCATCCAATGATACCTAACATTGGTGGAAGCTAGTTTATTGCAAAAAAAGTTGTGATGAAAAGTTCAAATGATTTTGTGTTTTTTCTGCCAACTCTTGCCAAAAATTGGTCTCATTTAGACAAGAAATCAAAGAAACGAGATGTTTCCCTACTTCCCATGATGATCTATAAGTACACTCTAAAACAGAATATAGCAAAACTGTCTCGTCAAGATCACTTCGAGTATTTATGCCGAAATGAGATGCATCTCCATCTTGTTGATTTTATCATTTATACAAGAAGATGTCTTTTTTTAAGTGGCCCAAACCATTTTTGAAAATCTCATTTCTTTTTGGAGACAATAAAAGATGTGATGAAAAGTTCAAATGATTTTGGGTTTTTTTTGCAAAGTCTTTCCAAAAATTGGCCTCAATTAGACAAGAAATCAAAGAAACGAGATGTTTCCCTAGTTGCCATGATGATTTAAAACTACACTCTAAAATAGAATAGAGCATAGTATACAGAGTGTAACAAAACTGCCTCATCTAGATCACGCCGAGTATTTATGCCAAAATGAGCTGCATCTCCATCTTGTTGATTTTATCATTTATAAAAGAAGATGTCTTCTTTTAAATGCACCAAACCATTTTTGAAAATCTCCTTCCTGTTTGGAGATAATAAAAGTTGTAATGAAAAGTTCAAATGATTTTGGTTTTTTTTTTGCCAACTCTTGCCAAAATTTGGTCTCAATTAGACAAGAAATCAAAGAAACGAGATGTTTACCTACTTGTCATGGTTATTTATAACTGCACTCCAAAATGAAATAGAATATAGTGTACAGAGTGTAACGAAACTGCCACATCTAGATCACGCCGAGTATTTATGCCAAAATGAGCTAAAGCTCCATCTAGGCAATTTCATCATTTATAAATGTTGTCATTATTAAATGCTAAATTTTTGACAATCGCATTTCGTTTTGGATATAATAATTATTAAATTTATTCAAATTGTTTGCTACATTGGAGATGAACACTTTTTCCAACTTGATTACAAAAAATTGTGAAAAATCGATTTGTTTAACAATCATTTTGAAATTGTTCACATTAATAAAAGAAGACAGGGATCACAGATATCTAAATGATGCTACGTTTTCAAACGAATATCCGCCACCAGGGTGAATGGGTGCCATATCTCAATATGCCCTATTTACGGTATCATATGCTTGCTTGTAATCCACGAAGAATTGATGCACAGATATATCGTCCAGTAACATTTCTCAAGTACCTACCGTTCTAATTGTTACATTGATAATTTCGCAGGGCTTATTTCGAATACGGATCTATGCCTCTTTGCAAGCATTTTTGTTAATGCTTTGTATGTTGTGTTGAGTAGTGAGATTCCTCCTAGAGTTTTCACATACTTACTAGACATTTGCTCTCGGTCCCACACTTCACCGAGCAGACGATGTTTCTCTTGTTTTAACGCTTTCCCTCCATACTTTAAAATTTCCGCTACAATTTCATCTTCTCCTAGAATCTTGTGGTTTATCATACTTTGTATGACTTCTTCCACTTCAGATTGCGTCGGAGCTGATATTTCTATATTGTCCTCTTTCATTTCAAAATTGTTGTCGACTTCTTTTTCGGTTTCTTCACGACGCCCTCGAAGTATTTTTCCCAGCGGTTCAATACCTTCGCAAGACCCCTAATAAGCTTGCCGTCCTTGTTCTCAATCATCTCTGCCCTGGTGTGAAACCTCCTCCTTTCCTCCTTTACCCAGCCATGTATCTCTCTTACCTCTCTCCTCTCGACCATCTCCTCTATTTCCTTTATTTTCCCGCATTCGCACTCTCTCCTATTTCTCCTTACTATGTGGGATTTCTCCTCTAAAACTGCGGACATTCATGATATCTGACCCGTGTCTTGTATCCACCAGTATGAGGTTAATCTGATTTTTCGTGATTCCATCATAAGATCTCCATGTGGTCTTGTGGATGTAGTATTGAAAGAAGTTATTATCATTTGGCTCGAACTGCTGAATTTCTTTTCCTATTGTTGGTCGGTAGATGTGGTCTCTACCTGTCTTTGCGTTTAGGTCTCCAAGAATTATGTGTCGCGGCATCATACATCCGTTCCAGTTCGTCATAGAATGTATCTTTATCCTGATCCTGTAGTTCTCAATTGGGGTATGCACACAAAAAAATGTTGCATGAATGATTCGAATCTCACTTCGCCCACCAATTCGTGTTTGACCGCAAATGCTGTTCCTAGATTACTTGTAGTGTTGCCGTTGTAGTAAATCGTATAGCCGTTTGTCTTGATTATGTCTTTACCTCTCCATTTTACAACTTCCTGCAATGCTGCCACTGCGACCTCATACTTTTGGAGTTCCATGACAAGGTTTCTTAGCGCTCTTTAATCTTAGCTTTGAAGATGGTTTGCACGTTCCATGTCGTCATCGATATTCTTAAGTCACGTCCCTTTTCGTCTCCGCATCAGTCTTAGTTCCGTGGATTGGTTTGGATTTCGTAATAAGTGCGTTTTTATAGGGCAAGTAGTTTGGCCCTACGCCCAACTTCATAATGATCGGAGGACCATTTTTCTCGCTCTCTAGCATGGTTGCTCAGATTTCCAGAGTTCCCAACCTCTTGAGGCTACGTACAGGTGAGAGTCGGGATTGAGAAGGAGATGCTATGATACAATTTCTTCCTGCGCGATTATCGTGTGGTCACTATCCCGTAGTCATGCACTATACCGTTTGAACCCCAAGTTATTTTTGTATTACTGTAAAAATGGTCATATCGAATTTTTGAAAACTAAGATTGCGGATCAAAAATATCAATGTTTTCATTTTAATTTTTTCTGACTTACCTACGGCTTCTTTAACTAAATATTCTGATTAAAGTTTAAAGCAGACTAACATCTGCTTTAATTTAAGTTATGTCATATCTATATTTCCATAAATATGAAGAGCCCGAATTTTGTGATTAAAATTTGAAATAGAAGCTTTTTGCTTTAATTTAAGCTAAGAGTCATTTCTTTACTACTACAAACACACTCATAATAATTTTTTGGAAATTAAGATTTTTTGTGTTTCATCAAAAATATCAGTACTTTTATCTTTGACTTCTTTCTGGTTATCGCATAACTTTTTCATCAAAATTTTGTGATTAAAATTTGAAATAGAAGCTTTTAACTTTAATTTAAGCTAAGAATCATTTCTTTACTACTACAAACACACTCATAATGATTTTTTGGAAATTAAGATTTTTTGTGTTTCATAAAAAAAAAACAGTGCTTTTATCTTTAATATTTTTCTGGTCATCGCACAACTTTTTCATCAAAATTTTGTGATTAAAATTTGAAATAGAAGCTTTTAACTTTAATTTAAGCTAAGAATCATTTCTTTAATGCAACAAATACAGTCGTAATGAATGAAAATTAAGATTTTTTGTGTTTCATTAAAAATAGCAGTGCTTTTATCTTTGACTTCTTTCTGGTCATCGCATAACTTTCTCATCAAAATCTTGTGTTATCTTTACCTTTTTCTGGTAATCGCACAACTTTTTCATCAAAATTTTATGATTAAAATTTGAAATAGAAGCTTTTAGCTTTAATTTAAGCTAAGTATCATTTCTTTATCACTACAAACACACTACTAATGATTTTTTGGAAATTAAGATTTTTTGTGTTTCATCAAAGAAAAAGTAGTGCTTTTATCTTTAATTTTTTTCAGGTCATCTCACAACTTTCTCATCAAAGTCTTGTGATTAGAATTTAAAATAGAACCTTTTATCTTTAATTAAAACTAAGAATCATTTCTTTACCACTACAAACACACTCATAATGATTTTTTGGAAATTAACAGTTTTTATGTTTCATCAAAAAAAAGCACTACTTTTATCTTTAATTTTTTTCTGGTCATCGCACAACTTTTTCATCAAAATTTTGTGACTAAAATTTGAAATAGAAGCTTTTAGCTTTAATTTAAGCCAAGAATCATTCCTTTAATGCAACAAATACAGTCGTAATGAATTATTGAAAATTAAGATTTTTTCTGTTTCATTAAAAATAGCAGTGCTTTTATCTTTGATTTCTTTCTGGTTATCGCATAACTTTCTCATCAACATTTTGTGATTAAAATTTAAAATAGAAGCTTTTAACTTTAATTTAAGCTAAGAATAATTTCTTTACTACTACAAACACACTCATAATGATTTTTTGGAAATTAAGATTTTTTGTGTTTCATCAAAAAAAGCAGTACTTTTATCTTTAATTTTTTTCTGGTTATCGCACAACTTTTTCATCAACATTTTGTGATTAAAATTTGAAATAGAAGCTATTAGCTTTAATTTAAGCTAAGAGTCATTTCTTTAATGCAACAAATACAGTCGTAATGAATGATTGAAAATTAGGATTTTTTGTGTTTTATTTAAAATAGCAGTGCTTTTATCTTTGACTTCTTTCTGGTCATCGCATAACTTTCTCATCAATATTTTGTGATTAAAATTTAAAATAGAAGCTTTTAACTTTAATTTAAGCTAAGAATCATTTCTTTATCACTACAAACACACTCAAAATGATTTTTTGGAAATTAAGATTTTTTGTGTTTCAACAAAAAAAGCCGTACTTTTAGCTTTACCTTTTTCTGGTAATCGCACAACTTTTTCATCAAAATTTTATGATTAAAATTTGAAATAGAAGCTTTTAGCTTTAATTTAAATAGAAACTATTAGCTTTAATTTAAGCTAAGAATCATTTCTCTATCACTACAAACAAACTCATAATGATTTTTTGGAAATTAAGATTTTTTGTGTTTCAACAAAAAAAAGCAGTGCTTTTATCTTTAATTTTTTTCTGGTCATCGCACAACTTTTTCATCAAAATTTTGTGATTAAAATTTGAAATAGAAGCTTTTAGCTTTAATTTAAGCCAAGAGTCATTTCTTTAATGCAACAAATACAGTCGTAATGAATGATTAAAAATTAAGATTTTTTGTGTTTCATTAAAAATAGCAGTGCTTTTATCTTTGACTTCTTTCTGGTCATCGCATAACTTTCTCATCAAAATCTTGTGATTAGAACTTAAAATACAACCTTTTAGCTTTAATTAGCTTTAATTAAAGCTAAGAATCATTTCTTTATCACTACAAACACACTCATAATGATTTTTTGGAAATTAACATTTTTTATGTTTCATCAAAAAAAAAAGCAGTACTTTTATGTTTAATTTTTTTCTGGTAATCGCACAACTTTTTCATCAAAGTTTTGTGATTAAAATTTGAAATAGAGAAGCTTTTAGCTTTAATTTAAGCTAAGAATCATTTCTTTATCACTACAAAGACACTCATAATGAATTTTTGAAATTAAGATTTTTTGAGTTTCATAAAAAATAGCAGTGCTTTTATCTTTGATTTTTTTCTGGTCATCGCACAAGTTTTTCATCAAAATTTTGTGATTAAAATTTGAAATAGAAGCTTTTAGCTTTAATTTAAGCTAAGAATCATTTCTTTACCACTACAAACACACTTATAATGAATTTTTGGAAATTAAGATTTTTTGTGTTTCAACAAAAAAAGCAGTGCTTTTATCTTTACCTTTTTCTGGTAATCGCACAACTTTTTCATCAAAATTTTATGATTAAAATTTGAAATAGAAGCTTTTAGCTTTAATTTAAGCTAAGAGTCATTTCTTTAATACAACAAATACAGTCGTAATGAATGATTGAAAATGAAGATTTTTTGTGTTTCATCAAAAATACCAGTGCTTTTATCTTTGACTTCTTTCTGGTCATCGCATAACTTTCTCATCAAAATCTTGTGATTAGAACTTAAAATAGAACCTTTTAGCTTTAATTAAAGCTAAGAATCATTTCTTTATCACTACAAACACACTCATAATGATTTTTTGGAAATTAAGATTTTTTATGTTTCATCAAAAAAAAGCAGTACTTTTATGTTTAACTTTTTTCTGGTCATCGCATAACTTTCTCATCAAAATTTCGTGATTAAAATTTGAAATAGAATCTTTTAGCTTTAATTTAAGCTAAGAATCATTTCTTTATCACTATAAACACACTTATAACGAATTTTTGGGAATTAAGATTTTTTGTGTTTCAACAAAAAAAGCAGTGCTTTTATCTTTAATTTTTTCTGGTCATCACACAACTTTTTCATCAAAATTTTGTGACTAAAATTTGAAATAGAAGCTTTTAGCTTTAATTTAAGCTGAGAGTCATTTCTTTAATGCAACAAATACAGTCGTAATGAATTATTGAAAATTAAGATTTTTTGTGTTTTATCAAAAATAGTAGTGCTGTTATTTTTAATTGTTTTCTGGTTATAACTTTTTTATCAAAATTTTGTGATTATGATTTAAAATAGAAACTTTTAGCTTTAATTTAAGCTAAGAATCATTTCTTTATTACTACAAACACACCCATAATGAATTTTTGGAAATTAAGATTTTTTAAGTTTCCTAAAAAATAGCAGTGCTTTTATCTTTGATTTTTTTCTGGTCATCGCACAACTTTTTTATCAAAATTTTGTGATTATAATTTAAAATAGAAGCTTTTAGCTTTAAGCCAAGCTAAGAATCATTTCTTTATCGCAACAAATACAGTCGTAATGAATTATTGAAAATTAAGTTTTTTATGTTTCATCAAAAATAGCAGTGCTTTTATCTTTGATGTTTTCTTGATCATCGCATAACTTTCTCATCAAAATTTTTTGATTAATATTTAAAATAGAAGCTTTTAGCTTTAATTTAAGCTAAGAATCATTTCTTTATCACTGCAAACACACTAATAATGATTTTTTGAAAATTAAGATTTCTTGTGTTTCATCAAAAAAAACAGTGCTTTTATCTTCAGTTTTTTTCTGGTCATCGCACAACTTTTTCACCAAAATTTTGTGATTAAAATTTGAAATAGAAGCTTTTAGCTTTAATGTAAGCCAAGAATCATTTCTATAATGCAACAAATACAGTCGTAATGAATTATTGAAAATTAAAATTTTTGTTTCATCAAAAATAGCAGTGCTTTTATCTTTGATTTTTTTTTGGTCGTCGCATAACTTTCTCATCAAAATTTTGTGATTAAAATTTAAAATAGAAGCTTTTAGCTTTAATTTAAGCTAAGACTCATTTCTTTATCACTACAAACACACTCATAATGAATTTTTGGGAAATTAAGATTTTTTGCTTGTCACCAAAAAAAGCAGTGCTTTTATCTTTAATTTTTTTTTGGTCATCGCACAACTTTTTCATCAAAATTTTGTGATTAAAATTTAAAACAGAAGCTTTTAGCTTTAATTTAAGCCAAGAATCATTTCTTTATTGCTACAAATACGCTCATAATGAATTTTATTATTCAAGGATTAAATAAGCACATTGAGGAGAGAGCAGAAAATAAAGTCAAAAAAAGATTTTGTAAAGATTTTAATTTGATTTGATTTTAATCAAAATTATGAAACTTAATAATCTTTAAGTCAAAAATTAATAAACCAATTTGGCGGCATTTTCTTTTAAAAAAATCTTTACATAATCTTTAATAAAATAATTTGAACTTTTCACCAAAAAAAATCCATTTCTCAAAGAAATCGCGTCGCTGCCCCTCAAAGACGTCGCAACGAAACATTTCTTTTAGTGGTCTCTCTTCTCAACAACGAAGCGAAGCGAATCAATCGAAAGAACGAGAACGAAATCATTTTAATTTAAGGCGTATTGAGGAAACGAAGAAATCTTCTATTTTTTTGGCCGCCCTTACTAGCTTAGTTGCATTTTTCTTGGTTATTCTCTCTACGTCCAACTTTATTCACACTACATTTATTTTTTTTATTCCCCACAATTCTCATTTCCAACTTTATTCGAATCCGCGACGTTTTTCTGAGAAGATCCACTACTTTATATTAATTCATTTTGGGTTTAGGGATTTTTTTATTTCTACAACTTACGTAATTAATTCAAAATTTCTAATTAAAACATTTTAATTAATTTAATTAAACAAAATCTCCAAAAATTTCTTTGTTTTGTTTTTTCAGGAATTGGATTTGGGTTTATTTACGTCCCTGCTGTAATAACGGTTGGGTTTTATTTCGAAAAGTGGAGGGCTTTAGCCACTGGGATCGGAGTTTGCGGATCGGGGATTGGTAATTTTATCCTCCCCCCGATTTTTTCCTATATCACCAAAAATTACAGTTGGAGAATTGCGATTTTGGTGCAAGCCGCGATGGCTTTTGGGTGCTTATTCGCCGGGTTATGCTTCAAACCGTTAAAACCGACCAAAGTTAAAGACATCAAGCAAGAACAACCCGAATTAATCATGGATAAAACTCGTCTCCCCTCGAAAACTCGCCGCCAAATGGAGTTAGCCCTAAAAAATTTTAAAGGAAACTCGGTTCATTTAAGTCATAGTACGATAACTAGGATATTAGGTGCCAATAATAATTGCGATTACCCCACGGTCGCTGATGTTTACCACACGATTAACGTCCCAAGACACGATCGGGTTCGATTTAGGGAGAAGAGATTCAGCGATCCTTTCGCTGAGGACGAAAAGAAAGATGGCGAGCCCCTCTTAGAAGATAAAACGTTCCAAGTTATCGTTCAAAAACAAATTAGGAAGCGCACTAACTCCGAAAGTAGCAACCCAAGGAGTCGTAAAAACACTTTGAGTGAAGTTAATCGCCCATTTTATCGCGATGACATCTGTTTTAGTGGGAGCTTAACTCGGTTGCCTCAATTTATGTCCAAAACATCCCTAGAATACAACTTAGCAGTAACTCGAGTTCCAACTAAACACGACATCGAAGAAGAATATCTTCCTGGGTGCAAAATTTGCCCTGAAGCAATGAGAAGGACTTTGGCTACAATGTTGGATTTTAGCCTCTTAAAATCGCCCTCTTTTATATTGATGGCGTTGAGTGGGTTCTTTACAATGATGGGTTTTTACACACCTTACATGTATATTAAAACGCGGGCGGAAAATGAGTTTCATTTGGATGTTTCGTTAACGACTTGGTTAATCTCAACAATTGGGATTGCAAATACGATCGGAAGGATTCTTTGTGGCGCGTTAAGTTTTTTCCCCAAAATCAGCACGTTATGGGTCAACAACATCGCTTTGAGTATCAGCGGAATCGTTACAATCATGAGTGGGTTATCAATGACTGCGGAATACCAATTTTTTTACTCCGTTATGTTCGGATTAACAATATGTAAGTTAACTCCCTTCAAATCAATCCATTTTTAATAAATCAAATTAATTCCAGCATCTTTCGCATCGTTAAGATCAATTTTGGTGGTGGAACTCTTAGGGTTATCAAAATTAACGAACGCGTTTGGGTTATTACTTCTTTTCCAAGGAATTGCTGCGGCGGTTGGATCTCCGATTGCGGGGGCTTTCATGGAAATGACGCAAAGTTACGATGCTTCGTTTTATTTAAGCGGATCGTTGCTTTTAATGTCTGGATTAGTTTGTTACCCATTAAGTTGTGTCAACAAATGGGAGGAGAATAAAAAGGAGAAAGATGAGAAAGAATCATCGAATAATGTTCCCGTTTGAGTAAATATTAATTTAAAAGAAGAAATTTGAATGAAAATGATCTTAAGGTAATAAAATAATAAATAAAAGAGAATTGGGGGGAAATTAATAAATTATTTGTTGTTCCTATTATTTTTTTTTGTTTGTGCGTCTCGAAATTTTTTATAAAGAATCTCTGTGAGATGCTCTAATTAATTAATTAATAAATTAATACATCAAAAAAAGTTTAAAACTTAATTTTTAATTAATTTTTATATATATATTATTTGTTTGTTTAATTTTTTTTTTGTTTTATGAAATAATTGTACGTGGAACACTAAAGACTGATTTTATTAATTAATTATTATTAATGATTAGTAATAATTAATACGAGAAAAAAATAAATCGAGAAAAAAATGAATTATTAAAAAAAAGTGTTATTTAAATTAAGATTACTTGATAATTTTAAATTCTGTACATTTGTTTAAAAATTAATTATTAAAGGATGATAAATTTTGAAGGAATTTTTACTGTAAAGAAAGCATTCCGATTTTGAAATTCGTTTCGATTTTGATTTTTGAATGCGAAGTAGCTTACTTAATTAATTATTAATTTAGTTCGTTGTTGGTCTGTTCATATCTTTTTTTGTAATGAATTTAAAAAAAAAAAGAGACTAAAGTGACAATAAATATAAATGAATTAAAACAATTTGACTTTTATTTTCTAAATGTACAGGGTGGGCAAATTTGGGTGTTATTATAAGCTATCTCAGAAACTATAAGAGATACGAAAAAAGTAGGTGCCATGTCCCGGTCTCTTTTTTCGAGACTAACCCAATCCCGCAAACACCAAACCTCTATCTTCTTTTGTTTTTTAGTTATAGCCAAAAAGAAAAAATATTCAAAGTTTTTATTCGTTGATACAAAACCAACTTTATCCTGCATAAAGCTAGGTGTCCACTTGAGAGAAACTTCTGAGAGTAACTCTCGATATCTACTCTCAACTCTGTGTCCACTTGAGCTGTTTTAGCTTTCCGAGAGCTTCTATAAAACTTCCGAGAGCTTTCTCTCAGACAGTTCTCTCAGGACCATGTCCACTAGTGAATTGTGTCCGTGCTATCGAAAGTAAAATTTATTTTCTTTCAGTGCTTGGTGTTTGTAAACATGGATGTAAACAAAATTGCAAGTGCAATAGTGTTGCAAAATTAAAAAAAAAAAAAAAACAAATTGAAAAAAATAAAAAGAAGCTGTTGGGATTAGAGCTGGGTGTCAACAAATATTCGTTGTCAAATTGATAGTTATTTGGCATACTGGATTCACAAAAAAGTGAACGCGATTGCTTTAATGGCACTTATAAATGCAAACTATAAGTTTATTGTCGTACACGTGATAGCTTAATAGTGGCTTGGCAGTATTTTGGAAAATTATTAGAAAATATAAACTTAAACGCCTCAATTGCTGAAAGAGACTAGATATTGCTGGCAGAAGACTAAGTACTACTAATGAAAGACTAGATGTTGCAAATGAAGCAGATTCTTCTTACAGAAGACTGCACACTACTACCAGAAGACGAAATACTGTTGGTAGAAGACTAGATATTGCTGCAAAAGACTAGATGTTGCTGACAAAAGACTAAGTATTGCTAGTAAAAACTAGATATTGCAAATGAAGCACATCCTTCTTACAGAAGACTACACACTACTACTAAAAATCAAATACTTTTAGCAGAAGACTTAATTTTACTGTCAGAACACCAAAATATGTTGTCAGAAGTTACTATTACTAATGGTACAAATCCCGTTTAAATTTCTGTCCAATACTTGTTAAAATTGCATCCTTCGCTTCCCGATTTCTATGTTCATTAGATGTGATATTCCAAAGAATTGAATTTTCTTCATACACTTCAATTAATTCAAATATTTCTTCTTGGGACTATTTTCTTTTAGGTGTTATCTTTAAACGTGTTATATTGAGAAAACTAGCAGCTACTCGTAGCAAAAGTCGAACCGTGTTCGGTTTTTGACAGTTACTCTCACGATAGATAAATTGTGCGTGTTCACTTGAGTACAAATCTCAACGTGTTTACTCTCCGAAAGTTTGTGGGGATTCTCTGATAGTTACTCTCAGATGCGTGTCCACCAGAAAATATACTCTCGATAGCTTCTCTCGAGAGCATTTCTCGCAAGTGGACACTTAGCTTAATGGTACAAGACCAACTTTCTGTCATATTCGTGCAAAACCATACAGCAATTAGGTAGTAATTACTGTCCAAACCCACCTACTATAATCAAAATTTTGAACGTTAGCGCTTACTATTTTGGAATTGAAAATTAACGCTTATTTTCCGCAAATGCACCATACATGCGATACATCATTGGAAAGCTAAAAATATGCTCTTTTCATCAACATCATAATCAAGTATAGCTTGTATTTAAAAAAATACAACTTTGTGTTGTATCTCAAAAATCATCAAATATTTTTAAAATTTTTCAACGGCAGTATATTCTACTTAAAAAAGTGTCTTAAGAACGTATCAACCACATTTCTCTAATTTCAAAAATAAACGAAATATGAGCATTTTTTGAAATCACGAAAATTTCACTTTTTCGGCTATATCTTAAAAGAAGATAGAGGTTTGGTGTTTGCGGGATTGGGTTAGTCTCGAAAAAAGAAACCGGGACATGGCACCTACTTTTTTCGTATCTCTTATAGTTTCTGAGATAGCCTATAACAACACCCAAATTTGCCCACCCTGTACATCGTTAATAATATGTTGCGACCTCGGCTCAATTCGAAAACAGTCTCAAAGAAAAGAAGATAGATTTTTGAGAGAAAACGAGAATTGGCTAATACCTCCATAGGGTTTGCTATTTATTGTAAAGAAAAAGGGCAGAAAAAGTTAGAAAGACCAACAAAATCTTTTGCTGATCAAAACATCAAAAAACAGAAACAATACGACACAGATGAGTCTTCTTTCATCCGGATTGAGCGATACTGCAAACGGACTGAAAGATATAACAACGCACCCCAGCCTACTGTTGGCGCCTGAAGATGGAGCTATCGTAGCCCCAGCTACCTAGTAAAAACTCCGCCTCATTCCATACCCCGGAATCGCCCATCAGGGCATTTCTTCGGGATTTTCTTCTTCTTCACTTCCTCGTTCCTCTCCCTCTTCGTCTATGATTTGGAGGCATTTCAAAATACAATAAAATACATCTCTTTAATTTTAGAATAGAGTTATTCTAATTATATGCCTGAATGAGGGAGCTCACTTTTTCTTCCTTCACCTTTCTCTCTCCAACAGGTATCCGTTCCAGTGTTTCTTTCTCCATTGTATCCATTTACCTCGCTCATCTGGCATTATATGCATTAAAAGATAAACCTTAAATTTTACGAAATAATTCATTTTGTTATCATACCTGGTTGACGGGAGGTCTACTTCCCTCAAATGTTCTCTGCTTGGCTCTGCTGTGGTTAACCCGAATTCGTTGTTTCTAACCTTTCCCTCTTAAACTCTGGTTCTTGTTTATTTTTGAAGACAGATATAATAAATTAATGTATTTCTTCCCAGTTCTCTTTACTTCCATCATTAATTGATTGAAGTTCTCTTTCGTCATGTCTCTGCGAATTTTTTGATCTTGTCCTTTTTGCTTCAAACTTTGTGCAATAAAAAATTGTACGTTCTGGTATATCCACAGATCCAACATTCGTCAGTTAATACTTTCCCAATATTATATAGATACTTTCCATATATACCGTGACCGCCGAGAACCTGTGCCATGTAATGGTCAATTTCACCCCATTTTCTATTTATGCACATCTCGACATTTGGAATCATGATTCTAGCCCATCCATCATAGCCTTCCCACCTCAGTTGCCATTTCTTTATTAAGTTTCTCCTTGCTTCAGTCTTGCTCTCCTTACCATTCTTATAGATGTACTCGCTTTCTTCCACTAGCAGGTCCATCGGCGGCTATCACCTCTACGCTTTCGGCAGATACCGTACGATACGCTGACGCAATTCCAATAGCCAATTTTCTATTAACTGCTTTTAGCATATTTACATAATGTTTGTATTTCAATAAAGCCAACTCCACGTTGGCGCCTCATACATAACTGCGGAAATAGCAGTGCTACCTAATAATTTACGTTTACTTCCGACGGGCCCACCAATATTGGGCATAAGTCTGCATAATATGTTGTTCATTTTTACAGCCTTCTCCGTTATTGTTTTTATATGCGCAGTCATTTTTAGATCTTTATCTAAATAAAACCCTTTCAACATATCGTCCATCGACAAGAATCTCCATTTTAGGAGCCTTGCGTCGCCCTTGCAGGACAACCACCCCGGTTTTTGAAGCAGCCACCTTAATACCCATGTTTTGAAGCCTTCTCATCACCTTCTCATCTACCGCATAGCCAGCCTTGTCCTCTACTTCTTGTTTGGTTTTACCAGTTGTAATTATGGCGAGATCATCTGCGTATGTCACCAAAACAACTTCCTTTTCCATTTCCTCTGTTAGTATGTCGTCGTAAAAGACGTTCCATAGTGTTGGCCCAAGATTTGACCCCTAAGGCACTCCACTGGTTATGTCATGCATCTGACCGTTAGGGGTTATAATCGTTCGTTCTGAAAGATATGACGTTATCATCCTTATCATTTACTCATTGACATTCCAGCATCGCAACTATGCCCGCCCAGGGAGCAGAATTAAACGCATTTTCGATATCTAACAGGACCATAGCGCATAGTTCCTGATTTTCAATAGCTTTGGCCTTGATCTTTTCTACCATACTTTGCACTTTCTGGATAGCGTTTATCTTCGAGCTGCCCGATCGGAAACCGAATTGGTTTTTAATAATTAGTTGTCGATCTTCTATTTCTCTGTTCAGCCTCTCTCTAATCTACACTTCCATTAGCTTAGCCATTGTATTTTCCAGGCATAGCCGGATTTCCCTCTGCGTCGTTTTTTGGCTTTTGAATCAGCACCAGTTTCGCGGTCTTCCAGATCTTGGGAAATATTCCTTCTTTCAAGTAATTATTGAAGATGCTTAGGAAGGTTATCTTATTCCCAATTACGGTTTCAATTAATATTTCCGGTGTGATGTTGTCCGGTTCG